ATAAGTTGTCTTTTGAGTAGACATAGAAAGAACATCTAAAAAAATAAACAATTCATTATTTTAAAAAAATACAAAATCTTAGAAAAGTAGGAATAAACAGACCTTTTTGTTTTGTTTGGGACCACGCCATGGTGCTCAAGACTTACTCTTGACTCTGTGCTCAGGGATCAGTTCTGGCAGTCTTGGGGGACCGTATGAGGTGCCAGGGATTGAACCCAGGTGTGCTGCGGGCAAGGCAAGTACTCTATGATTGCTCTGGTCCCCAGATCTTTTTCTTTTTAATGTGGATGGGGAGTGGACACACCTGCCGGTGCTTTGGGCTCATTCCTGGTTCTGTACATGGGTATCACTCCTGATGGTGCTCTGGGGCCCTATAGGGTTCTGGGAATTAAACCCAAGTTAGCTGCATGCAAGGCAAGCTCTGGTGTCCGCTGTGCTATCTCTCCGGTCCCTAAATAGACCATTTTTTTAATCTGGTAGAGGATAACCATAAGCCCATGAACAAATGCCATAAGTGAAAAAGTATGGAGAAGTTTGTCTTGTCTTTTAAAGAAAATCATTTAATATTTCTTACAAACCTGATGTCAAGTCTTTCTGTACTGTTCAGGCTGTTGCTTGTCCATGCAGATCTTTATCATGCCTGAATAATAATCTGAATAATAATCTAGCTGAATAGAGTATTCATGTTGTAGTATTATTTTATTGAGCTTTTGGTTTGGTTTTTTTTTTTTTTTCATTTTAACCCACCATTCTCTTCTGGCTCATAATGCCTCTTTTGATAGACTCTTCAGTGTTTCTGATGGGAGATCCTTTGTTTGTAAGTTCCATCTTTGATCTTGCTAGCTTCAGTGTTCTTTCTTTGGCTTTTGTCATTCAAATCTCAGTGTGGACTGTTTCTGTTTGGGTTTATTTTTGCTGGGGTCCTTTGGACCTTTTGGATCTGATGCTTGCACTTCTGAACACTGAGAAATTCTTACCTATGATTTCTTTGACGAGTGGTTCTTCATAGAACCTTGGGGACTCGAATGAGTCTTACATTGCTTCTTTTGAGCTCATCCTGTACTTCTCCTGTGTGCTGTTAATTTCTTTTCAGATTTTGGTGGGGGAGCATATTCAGAAGCATTCAGGGCTTACCCATGACTCTGCACTCAGGAATTACTCCTGTCAGTGCTCGGGAGACCTTATGTGGTACCTGGGATCAAATTCTGATTGACTGCATACAAGACAAAAACCCTACCTGCTCTACTATCACTAGTGGCCCACTTCTCTGACTTTTTTCTGTCTTCTGTTAGGGATTTCCTGCATCTTGTCTTGGAAGCCGATGATTTATTTTCCTGCATTGCTCTTACTCTATTGCTGATGCCTTCTGTTGGGTTGTGTTGTTTTGTTTTGTTTATTTCACCTACCATACTCTTCATTTCTGTTGCTTTTGATTGTAGCTTTCTCATTTCTGATCTCATGCTTGTACTTTACTATTTGTCCTCTAGTTTCTTTGAGCTATTAAACATCCTCCTCATGTATCTGTAGGCATGGTCTGAGAGGTTAAGAACTCAGTGGTATTGGTAGAACCTTCTGTGCTATTATCTTTCCTCCTCATGCTTGATGGGCTTCAGTGGGACTTCCCCCGTTTCTGTGATCTGAGGGTGAATCTCTGTGGCTTGTCCTTATGGGGGTTCTCTGAAGGATTATACTGAGTGTTGATCTTTGCCTTCCTTACTGGTCTTCCCCCAGCGATAGGACTTCTGAGTGTGCACATGAGCAAGCAGGGGGCCAGGGGAGAAGGCAGAGGTCAGGTGGAGAAGGCTGCTGGGACTCGGGAGTTGTTGTTTGCTTTTTAAATGTTTGTATTAGTCCTGAGAGGTAACTCAGCTGATGGAGCCCATGTTTTGCATACAGGAGGCCCGGGTTGGCCCCCTGGCAGTGCATGATCCTCTGAACACAGATGGGAGCAGGCCCCAAACACAGAACTCCTGGCACTTCCAGGTTCTACCCTAACAGCTAACAATTGAAAGGAAAGTATAGAATAGAATCCGGAAACAACCTGAGTGCCCAAGAACAGACGAATGGATAAAGAACCTGTGGCACATCTGTACAATGGAATGCTATGCAGCTGTGAGAGAAAATGAAGTCATGAAATTTGCCTCTAAATGGATGGCCATGGAGAGTATCATACTGAGTGAAATTAGTCAAAAGGAGAGGGACAGATATAGAATGACTGCATTCATTTGTGGTATATTATATATATATATATATATATATATATATATATATATATATATATATATGAAGACTAATATCCATCCTGGGGTAAACAGGGTTCAGGAGGACTGGTCAGTGGTTGGAACTAATCACAGTGTGTGTGGTGCTGAGGGTAGGTAAGATAGAGAGGAGACCAGTATGACAATAGTAGCAGGGAATGATCATGTTTGATTGGATCTGAGTGTTAAAAGTAGGTAAGGGATATTCTTAATAACCTTTCAGTATCAATAATGACCACAGTGCCCTCGAGGGGGGGTGGGGGGTGGGAGGGGGTTAGAGAGAGAGGGAGGGAGGAAGGGGGGAAGGGGAGAGGGAGGAAAAGTGGGGGGGAAGGGGTGGGTGTTGGAATGCTGTATGACTGAAATCCAATCATGAACAGCTTTGTAAAGGTATATCTCACAGTGATTCAATAAAAAAAAGTTAAAAAAAGAACAGGGAGGGAGGGAGGGAGGGAGGGAGGGAATATGAGTTTCAGGGCTCAAGTTGGGATTTTCCCAGAGGAGTAAGAGAGTCTTGACTTCTGAGCTGTACCCCTCTCTTCTTTCCAAAGTTAATCCAGAATCCAAATTGTAATTGAAAAGCTTGAGTTTTTGACTCAGGCACATGGGGTTGGGGGTGGGGAGAGAGACAGAAACAGAGAAAGAGTCTTGTCCTCTGAGAAGTGAGGAAAAGGATGCATGGAACACTACGAGAAGTAGAGCCACTCAGAAATGGAAATAAATACTTGAGACTTTTAGGCTGCAAGACAAGCACAGGAGAGGCTAAGCATCCCGAACGACAGGGAAGGGAGCTGGGGTTCCACTGGGGCAGCTCGCCCACCTTTTGGATCCCAGCGCACAGCTTCATCATCTTGATGACCACATTTGGTAGCAGTTATTTTCTCTTTTTCTCTCTTTCTCTACATTTCACTGTGATCTTCCCTAAAGAAAGGAACTTTAGGGGGTGGAGCAATAGCACAGTGGGTAGGGCGTTTGCCTTGCACGCGGCCGACCTGAGTTCAATTCCCAGCATCCCATATGGTCCCCTGAGCACCACCAGGAGTAATTCCTGAGTGCAGAGCCCTGTGCATTGCCGGGTGTGACCCCCCCCCCCAAAAAAAAGAAAGGAACTTTACCTCTCTATTTTCAGGGCACCAAGCATACTAATTGACATAACAAATGCTCCGTAAGTGTCTAATTTTAAAAACTAAGAAGTGTCTAAATTATAGGATGAGAAGGAGCAGAAGCGGGGTTGGAGATATAGTTGAGCAGGTAGGGCACTTGTTTTGCACATGGCTCATCTGTATTTGATCCCAGCATCCTGTAAGGTCCCCCAAGCCCATATAAAGGGTATTTTGTACGGGAATAATTCCTGAGTGCAGAGCCAGGAGTAACCCCTGAGCATTGCTGGGTGTGGACCAAACCCCAAATAAATAAATAAATCTCCTTTAAAAAATAAAAAAGGAGCAGAAGCACCTGTTGTGTGGTAAGGTATGGTGTTAGGCAAGGACAGTGCGAAAGCAAGGTCCCTTCCTGTGGGGACGGAAGCAGAGAGCAGGGAAGGGAACAGGGAACGGCTCACGTGTGCCCAGGGTGCTTTGAGGATACCTGTGTGTATCACTCACCCATTTGGTTGGAGTCAAGGGCGGCTTCCTGGAGACAGTGCTCACTGAGTCATATTGTGGAGAAGGGAAGAAGCAGCAGGAGCATGTGAAAGCACATGGTGTTGGGGACGCGCTTGAATGGGCCTGAGCAGGGTGTGAGGAGAGGAGGGAGAGGCGCTGTGAGAGACCTGATTGTGAAGGGCGATGTTATCCTGACACGACTTACATTTTCCCCTGAAAATTGTGAAGAGCCTAAAGAATTTTAAGTGGGTTTCCATCGGATTTTGTCTTTTGTTTAGTAGTTTTTTGCTTATGTTTCCTTTCTTCTGCCCCTTTCATATGTGTCTTGTTCCATCAAGGTATTTTCCTGTGTTTAAGAGATATTTTGAAGTTAGCTATTTATCTCTGGAATATTTCTGATTTTTTTGCGGGGGGTGTCTATAATCCTTTACCTCTAACCTTCTTTGGGGAAGAAGCATTAGATAGAGTGTTGTGTAAAATTTGCTAATATTTTGTAAGTTCCTTTGAGTTGTTTTCCTAGGCCCTTCTTATCTTGTGAAGTACATGAAATATAATACTGTGAATAATAAGAACAGACTATAGGACAAGGGAAAAGAGAGAGCTTGACAGGCTGGAGCACATGCTTTGCATGCATGAGGCCGCAGAGTTGGACCGCTAGCACTGCATAGTTCCCAAGCACCCCTGGGCGTGGCCCAAAAATAAAACCAAGGGGGTAGTGGGAAGGAGCCGGAATACCTGTCAAGCCAGCAGTCTAGCATTTCTTTGAAAATTATTAAGAGGTACATGAAATTCTTGATAAACCAAAAATAATAAATTCCAAGAATGCCTGGATTTAAATAGTGTTACACTTGAAGCCTTAAATTGATCGACTTAGCTAATTCTAGAATAGGCAAATCTTTGCCAATTAAACTTGAAGTTTGAGGTTTCTGTGATATCTGCTGCACAAAGTTATTCTTGTTGTCACTGAGCAAAAGTCACTAGTTGTGTGAAGTCTCGCTCCAGTCATAAACCTTCTTGGGCTTAATCTTTTCATCCTCTAATGCAAGGGCTTATCTTAGCTGATTTGTAGAGACTTTTTCTGTTTCATGATAATTTATATGACATCTAATCATTTTTTTCCAAATTATCTTTTATGTAGCACTCACATGGTCTTCTGAAGAAGCCATGGGTAGCTGTTGTAGCTGTCCAGATAAAGACACTGTCCCAGATAACCATCGGAACAAGTTTAAGGTCAGTAAAACTGATTGCATCTTCGCTCACTGCTGGAATTTTCTTTTACTTTACCAATATAGCGTCACATCCTCACTTTTAACTCCAGAGCCTATTTCCTCCACTTGAGGATGGCCTTCTCTTGTTTTAGCAAATGAGAGATTTTCCCCCCTCACTTATAATATGAAATCCTCTTTTTCTTTTCCTCTGGTCTTCTGTATCCAGTCAGCCACACTGTTCTGGCAGCGTTTTCTTTTAAATCCCATTTTATGGGCTCTCCTGACCAGTCATGAGCTCCAGCCATGGCTGCGTGTCCAGATTATTTCTGCACTGAGTTCTCCCTCTCGCCACCCCGGGAGCTAGCCTGCAATTAGCATCAAATTAATCTTCCTCTTTCATCGTCCCCAGACTTCTCTGGTGTTCTTCTCCTGGAGACTGAGTGCTTGCACCCTTACTCATCAGCACAGCTTAGTCCTTCCCAGAGCCCAGCCCAGTCTGCGCTAGGTCAGAACCTCTGGTCCTACACGGAAGTCACACTGCCATGAAGTTTCTTTTTGGCTTTTGTAGCATGGAGGAAATAGTACTAGCTTCCGTTTAGAGGATTAGTCTGTGAACATGAGATGGCAAAAATACATGTCAGGTCCCTAGCCCATCCCCAGCGTCTCGAGCTCTCTGTGTTGTCTATTCTTCATCGTCTCTGGCCATTTTGTGAGCTCAGCAGTGGAAGGCTTCTTTGTTAAGCTCTGTACCAGTCCTGTCTTGGTCTCTGTGAGCAGGCTTGGTCAGCATTCTTCTTTGTCTCTGCTGGAGCATTGTTTATGTTGGCCTGCCCTACGTTTCATGATCCTCTGACTCTCTTTTTTAATGTCATTTCCTGTAGAAATGTAATTATTCCTGAGGTTCAACAAATATACGCTAAGGTTCACTTACATTAATGAAGTCTTCTCTTTCCAGCAACCCTGGGTTGCGGCCTCTGTTACACACATTTGTCAATCACACACAGATCTGTGGGTGCTGATTGGTGTTTGTATATCTGACCTCACTGGTAGGAACATAAGGTTCTTGCAGATGAGAAATGGTTAGTAAATGGTTACATAGTCTGTGCTCTATATGCATATTCGTTGATGAATAAATTAACAAAGGAATAAATAACTGAACCAATCAGCAATAGTACATTTTCTGTACAAATTAGTACACCTTGAATATGATTGTCTAATGAGAGTATTTAGAGTAGCACTCATTAAACATTCTCTTTTAGGTCATTAATGTGGATGATGATGGGAATGAGTTAGGTTCTGGAATAATGGAGCTCACAGACACCGAACTGATTTTATACACTCGCAAACGTGACTCAGTAAAATGGCACTACCTCTGCCTGCGACGCTATGGCTATGATTCGAATCTCTTTTCTTTTGAAAGTGGTCGAAGGTGTCAAACTGGACAAGGTAAGTATTTTTTCCTCCTCCAAACATTTGAAATATTATTTTTTCGGTTTTTCTATATTTTTGTTTGGTTTTTCTGTATTTTAATATGTTTAATTTGTTTTTTTCTTTATTTTCTATTTTACTTTTCTCCTGATTAAAAAAAATTAAGTGAATTGGCAGTAGATATAGTGTAATATATATTCATACACCAAGCTTTTCTTAAACGCATTTTTTTTTGTTTTTTTAAGATTTCATTATTGAATAACTGTGATAGACCCTTACAATGTTGTTCATGATTAGTAGATGCTTTTTCTATGTCCAGAATATTATTATATTACTCAGTCTTATTTTAGGTTTTTTTTTTTTCTCTCTAGCCCTAATTTCAAGATTTTCAACTAATGATTAATCCCCAAAGTTCACAGCTTATTGAGGGAAAAAGCCCAAACTTTAGAGTTAAATGGAGCATAGATTGTGGGTTTTGCCACCTACTGTTGAATGGCCTTGGGCAAGTTACATGACCTGTCAAACATCAGTTTTTTCTCTATCAGTTAAGAATGGTAATCCCCACCTTACATAATTAACTTAATAGTTAAACAAGATAACGGTAGTAAATTGCCTACCCTGCAGCCCCCTCCTAGTGCTGTGTTGGCGCCCTCTGCTGTTGAAGAGCAGACTAGCCGAAGTGTATAATTGTGCTTTTGGCTGCCTTATTTGGGACCATCTCTCCTAGGCAAATGAAAAGTGTTCCATGAACTTTGTCTCTTTTGAAACAGGAAATGCCATTCATTTTTCAGACATCTATTTAAATGGCCTTTCATGCTGCTGGCGCCCAGCGGTTTACTTGGACAATTTTGATCTTTACCAGGTGCTCCTGTATCTGTTTTTAAAGTTGTAGAAATCTCTTTTCCCTTTGGTTTCTGTTTGTAGGAATTTTTGCCTTCAAGTGTGCCCGTGCAGAAGAATTATTTAACATGCTGCAAGAAATTATGCAAAATAATAGTATAAATGTGGTGGAAGAGCCAGTTGTAGAAAGAAATAATCACCAGACAGAATTGGAAGCACCTAGAACACCTCGAACACCAACAAGTAAGCACTCAGTTTCCTCTTGTGCTTTGATTAATGTGTTTATAAAATAAAAATTATAGAGATTTAACCTATAGCATAGTAGAAACTACCATTGGCTAACATTGTTTGTTGTTGTTGTTCGCTACAGTTACAAACAAGCATGGTGTGTATTTTATGTATGAAAACATTTAAGTGTGTGATCTAACATGTGAGGGGCAAATTAGAGTGCAGGGCCATCGTTTGTTCAGATTTCTGCTGTATCTTACCAGAAACACCGCCCTTAACCTTCTCAGTGCAAACTGAATTCTTACTCACTTTTCTCCTTCCTGCCCTACCCCTGTGTCCTGCCTTTCTTCTTAAACCAACAAACAAAAACTCAGCTCCAGGGTTTGCTGCTCAGAACTTACCTAATGGATATCCCCGCTACCCCTCATTCGGAGATGCTTCCTCCCATCCGTCAAGCAGGCATCCTTCCGTGGGAAGTGCTCGTCTGCCCTCCGTTGGCGAAGAATCCACGCATCCTTTGCTCGTGGCTGAGGAACAAGTAAGCAAGAGTTGTTCTCTAGCAGCAGAATAGATTACATGGAGCAGAAAATGTTACAGTGCTAGTTCTTGTACATTTCCATCAGCTTTATTTGGCTTTGATATGACTTTTGTGGGACGCAACAAGAGAAATAGCATAGATAATACATATACCAAGAAATCCAGATTTGCACAGGTGTTCTTTATAGAGAAAAGGGTTGTTTTGTTTTTGGGGGGAGGGGCACACCTAGCTCAGGAATTACTCCTGTCCTCGGGAATTACTCCTGGTGGTGCATAGGGGAACCATATGGGATGCCAGGGATCAAACCTGGGTTGGGCGCATGCAGGGCAAGTGTCCTCCCTACTGTACTATCTTTCACGCTATTGTACTAGCTTGAAAGGGGGTTTTAAAACTATAATTACCCCCAGTTTTTGCATCTTATCTGGAAATTGTTCAAATTTTACTTACAAACTGCTAAATGTTTTTACATGAAGGTCCTTCCCGAATACCATTGCAGTTATTATCTAAGTCTTTAGAATTTCTCTAGCAGGGGGTGGCTCCCAAATAGTGCTCAGGGACTGGGGATGGGGGGGGGGCGGGCAGAGACCACTCCTGGTGATATTGAGCCTTACTGCTGTCCTGAGAGTTCAGTGATTGGACTCGGGGACCAGGGATTGAAATTGGGGCATCCAAATGCCAGGCAAAGCTTTGAGCCCAGTAATGCAGTTTTGTAATTTATTAAATGTAGCTTATTATAGTTGCTGTTTACTTTATATCCATCCATGTTTCATAAAACTTCTATAGGGACCAGGGTGATAGTAGAGCGGGTAGAGTGCTTGCCTTGTACATGGCTGACCAGGATTCCATTCCTAACACCTCCCAGTGCCTTGCCAGAACTGATCCTTGAGTGCAGAGGCAGGAATAAGCCCTGAGCATCTCTGGCTATGGCCCCAGAATAAACAAACAAAAAACCCAGCCACTTTTATTAAATCTAGTAGGGTTTCTTTCTTTCTATAACCAGTTACCTATAATTAATGTTTAGTCTATCTTTTCTTATTTAATATTCTTTTTTGTGCTGGGGACCAAGAGGTGTTTTACCTGGGCTGTGGGGGCTGGAGATGTTTTGCTGGGGCTGTGGAGGGTGGGGGGATTGAACTATGGACCTTGTGTAAGCAGAGTTTTTGCTGTGTGAATCAAGCCACCTCCCTGATCCTTATAAATTTTGGGAGATAGCCCCAGTGCTGGAGATTGTACCTAGCATGCGCCGGGCTCTGAGTTTAACCCCAGCACCGGCACCCTTGCTGCCTCTGCTTCCAACACCACTGAATCTAGCTCCTATAAAATAAAGTAGGAAGAAAAAGTTGATAAAATTGCCCATTCTATTTAGATGATTTTTTTTTTCCACAGCCAGCTGTGCTAAGGGCTCACTCCTAGCTCTGTGCTCAGGGCTCACTCCTGGTAGAGTTCAGGAGAACATGCAAGGTGCTAGGGATTGAGCCTAGGTCAGCTACATGTAAGGCAAGCATGTTACCCATTGTACTGTCTCTTCGTCCCTATATATATATGTGTGTGTGTGTATACACACATATATATATATACATCTATATATAGATACATGTATTTTTACTTTTCTTTTTAAGTAAGCTCTGGATTTACTTTTCTGTTTCGTTTCTGGGGTTTTAGGTGCATACTTACGTCAATACTACAGGTGTACAGGAAGAGCGGAAAACCCGCGCCAGTGCGCATGTGCCCGTGGAGGCAAGGGTTTCTTGTGCCGAAAGCAACACGCCAAAAGAAGAGCCAAGCGGTATTGAGGACAGGGACCCACAGATTCTTCTTGAACCCGAAGGAGTCAAATTTGTCCTAGGCCCCACTCCTGTTCAAAAGCAATTAATGGAGAAAGAGAAACTGGAGCAGCTTGGAAGAGATCAAGTCAGTGGAAGTGGTGCGAATAACACAGAATGGGACACTGGCTATGACAGTGATGAGCGGAGAGATACACCCTCTGCTAACAAGCTGGTGTATGAAAATATAAATGGGCTATCCATCCCTAGTGCCTCGGGGGTCAGGAGAGGACGGCTAACATCCACCAGTACCTCCGACACCCAGAACATCAACAACTCAGCTCAGAGGAGAACTGCGTTACTAAACTATGAAAACTTACCATCTTTGCCTCCAGTTTGGGAAGCCCGCAAACTCAGTAGGGATGAAGATGACAGTTTAGGACCAAAGACCCCATCTCTAAATGGCTACCATAATAATCTCGATCCAATGCATAACTATGTCAATACAGAGAATGTAACAGTGCCAGCAAGTGCTCACAAAATAGAATACTCGAGGCGGAGGGACTGTACCCCAACCGTCTTTAACTTTGACATCCGACGCCCGAGTTTAGAACACAGGCAGCTCAATTACATCCAGGTTGACTTGGAAGGCGGCAGTGACTCAGACAACCCTCAGACTCCCAAAACGCCCACCACCCCCCTCCCGCAGACCCCGACCAGGCGCACAGAGCTGTACGCTGTGATCGACATCGAGAGAACTGCTGCTATGTCCAATTTGCAGAAGGCACTGCCACGAGATGATGGTACGTCAAGGAAAACGAGACACAATAGTACTGACCTGCCCATGTGAGCCGGGAGAGCATTATGTGCGCGCACCTTTGTGAAGTTTTATTTTTTAAAGTGAAGATGCAAGTGCTTCATTTTTCATTTCTAGACATGAATTCCTTTTATATAGACGGATAAAAAAATTTTTTTTTCCTTCTGAATATTTCATGTGCTTCTCTAAAGGGAATTAATGTAGAGCAGGTACTCGTTAAAGAACACTAATTTCATGATATAGTACTCATTATTGTACAGCAGCACCCCATTTTCACAGTGCCTATTTAAAATGAAAGTTGAAGTGAGTGACATGCTGGTTGATTTTTATCAATATTCTGGACTTATGCATATCATTCATGTCTGAGTCGTGGCATTTAGAACATTTTATAAAACCTCTTGATAATGTGCATTGCTAAGAGATAACTCTAGGCTTTGAAAAGAATATTTGTTGATTAACTATTCAGGGTATGTGGCCTCTGACACGTAACATGAGGAATTGCTTATTTCATTAGTTACCAGCTTTTGGACTTGAGCCAAAACCTACGTAAAGAAACAAAAAGTACCACACCTCCTATAGTCCAGGCAGTTCCGTTGCCTTCAGCGGTACTAGAAAGTTTTGTGTCCATGTATGTGGTTCACTGTTGGTGGGTTGAAAGGCAGAAAATTTTCTGTTTACTCATCTCACGATGTATGTGAAGAGCATGCCCAGATCTCTTAATCAGAATTACAGTAGGCTCAAGAATCAGTCTCAGGTCACTTTACCCAAAAACTTTTGAAAATCTAAGCCAGGATCTCTCTAAAGGATCTCTCTTTTCCTTTAGGTGATGATTCATAAAATTGTTTTTTGGAGGCCTTTGTGCCATTAGGTTTCCACTTTCAGTTTCCTTTGGTGTTTGGGATGTCTTGTTTGTTGCTTAATTTTTTTTTTCCAATTTAAGATGTTTGTGTTTGTATATACTTTTGAAATTGAATTATGTGTTCATTGTTATTTAGTTTGCATTTTTGTCAAATTGTGGTTTTGAAGGTTCATTTGGAACTTACTGTTAGTCTATAACAGGGTTGCCCTTGTCCAGTATTTATTTATATGCTGTTTACTTTTCACGTTGATAAAAGCATTCTCTCCATTTTCAAGTTCACTTGTGTCCAGAAATGATCTCAAAAAAAAAAAAAAACGCAGCTTCTTTCCAGACAAGTTCCCGAAGGTACTGTTTCTCGGTGGGCACTCTCCCCAGCACTTTAGCACTGAGTCCCTCAGTCACGCGCTGCAGCTGTACTCTGCCCACTGCCGTGCACCTCGGCGCTGCTCTCCTTTTGCTCTGGCCGGATCTTTGACTAGCCCTTGTTTTCAACGTTCAGATTATTGCCCGCATAGCAGGTATAGTGGAAATCTTGTAGCAATGAGATTGTGTCATAATTTAGGAGTTAACGTTCATTGAAGTTACATAAACCAATGAGAGTCCATGTGTCTAACTCTTGGAAAATCAAGAATGTTCCAGTTTCCCATACATTAGAGAAGACAAAAGAAAGTAGAGTAGAAAGAATGTTAGGTAACCTGGTAAAATAGTTTATTGTTTTCTTGAAGTATAAGGAAGTTTGAGATTATGATCTGTATCTAGCAGATGTAACTAAGGGTATTTTAGCATGAAAGTATGTCATAGAGAATCCAACCTGTTCAATAAACAATCTAGTTCTAGGACAGTAAATGGATTAGCAGAACTATAGAGTGGGACCATTATGTAAAGAAAATAAATTATTAAAAGTGTCTATCATTTTCAGTGCCATTGGTTTATATGCATAGCAGAATTCCCCTCCCCCCCTTTTTTTTGTGAACTTGGTGCTTACTGAAGTGTTCACTGTTGTCTAAAAAGAGCAATGGCATAGGTGTGCTGTTTCCATTTTTAATATATTGTTCCATTTACGCTTTCTTCAGAGTAGATTGCTAATTGTGCCAAATTTATGTGAAGACTTTTGTAATGTGGAATGAGAATTAGGATGGAACCAGTACACATGGTTTTCTTCAAGACAGAACATCCATCTCCAAATGAAAGGGCTGACCTATTGATTCATTTTGGAGATTGGATACTTTCTATTATTTCTTTGCCTCATCCTTTTCCATTTTCCACTCCAGTTTCTAATTAGTGTTTATATTCCTTTAGGTGACTCCAATATACTCAATACAGTTTATGCTTTAAATACTATGTGCTTTAAAAATGAAAATGGGACCAATTTGTCTTCTAAGAATTCAATATTAGGTACTGCAAGTATTAGGAAGATGTGTGCAACTGGTGTTAATTTTTAGGTGGCTTCTGGAAATCACCTGTGTTCTGACACAGTAAAAAGTAATGTAGAACACTCCGCATCCTTTGCAGTAGTCCGGTCATGGGCATTAAGCTCTATCCTGGAAGAATGTACCTAATATTGGGTGCATTTTAGAATGAGATATTTTATTGGCATATAGTTGTGGCCATACATCTCAGATTTTCTCTAATTTTAGTTACGCTTTTCTGTTGATAGACCACATATATGATCCCACGTTTTGGTTTTAGAAATATAATCATTGTTTTTCTGCCCTGCCCACTCCCCCCCCCCCCCCGCCTCCCAGTAGAACCCTTTATCCATATAAATCATAACAGCTTTTATCCCAGACCAGGGTTGGATATTGATATGGGTAGTATCTGTGTTTTGTGTTTCATCTTCCTTTGATAATAAAAATATGGTGCCTTCCCTCCCTCCAGGAAGATTGGCAAATAGATCCTTTTATTTACTGCTGCTGTGGAGTGATGAGATATGCACTTTACTCTTGAAGACTCAGCAAAAAGCTTTTCACTTCTCAGTATATCCAGAATAGACCACATTTAGGACTTACGAAAATTTGCCAAGCAATCTTTGTTTTTATAGATATTAATGTTCAACCTGCAGTTCAATGTTATAAGTGAACCTCGCCTTTGTTTATTCTCTCCCTTCCTACCCATGGAAAAAAAAGAAAAAGAAAAACTGTGGCACAGCATATAAAAATGTACCTCAATAATGTTCTATTAAAAATGGGACAGGGGCCTTATGTTTTCATAATTTCCCAATAATGTGCCACCACCATATTTTTGCCTCAAGGTAAAGGGTTTTACAAGCTGAAAAGTACTTCCTATTCTCCCCACCTCACCGTACTATTCCAAACCCATAATGCCCACGTTTTGTGCAATGTTTAAGTGTGTATGTGTAAATATGCATACATATATATATATAAAACTCTCCTAGAAATAGACATACCATCAGAATCATTCAGAAGTAACTGATGTATTGGCATCTCATTCATATTTCTGATATATGAGGTATATGGTACTAATTACCTTTCCCCAAATGTTTGCCAAATTTGAATAAAGGCATTGGTACGAAATTATGGAATGTATAGAAAATGTTTTGGGCTCGAAAAATTAACAAATGCTTTATGACATACCACAGTATACTCTACCCAAACCAGCACCCTGTCTGTCTTTCCTGTTCTTTCCATAACTGTTCCACATCTCTACGTCCTCACTTTTGGGGTATAACACGATTCTTTTGTAGCATTTTTACAATTGCAGTTCTATGACAATTGGACAATAAGCGTGGAAATGGACTGGTATTAATAGTACAGTAGTCACCGGCGTGCCACAATTGCATTAGTAAATGCAAAGTATACATTTTATAAGGACAAATTTTGTGTTATGTTTTTATTTTCATTACATTGTATAATATTGTAAGATTATTGTATGTCCTAATTTGCATTATAAATGTTCTTTTCCTACATAAAGGCATAAATATAGCAACTTTGTATAAAGGTAGCTTATTAGATTTTTAATTTTTCTTTTATAAAAAATTGTCTAACAGTGGGACTACCGTTGCCAAATTGTATGAAATATGAATCTCACCCCCTATGGTTAATTTCTTTTATAAACATTCCTTATTTCTCTAATAAAAGACATAAGTGATACTGTACTATGCATAAATTGTATTTTAATGCTGTTTCCTATCAGCATTTAAAGTTTTGGTTTGCATTTTTAATATTGGCAAATTTTACCACTGTTGATTGAAGCCTTGTATATGTAACAAGATCTTTTGCCTTCTGTCCCTCCCCACTCTTTGTTCTCTATTTCTCCCTGTCAGTGCCAACTTCAAACATTTTGTAGCATGGCAATAAAATAGAACTTTTACACTGAGGCCGAGTGTGGCTTTTTGGAGAAAGTGAGAGATGGGAAGATTGCCCTCGAATTGTTGTTTGCATTTGACTATTTTTTGCCATATATGCCATGTCTCCAGGCCTGAGAAGTTATCTCAAATATATGTAAACCTGATTTTAAGGACAAGTGTGAATGTGCTTTTAAGCTTTTGTTATAACAAATAAGAACCGATTTTTTTATCTTTGGAAAAATTAGAGTTCTTGAGTATAATCAAAACCTCTATTAACTGGAGTACTTAGAAAATAAGCTAATAATTGAATTTAGTTCAACAAGGGCTGAGCAACACATTTTTTAAATCCTTATTTATTGTAGAGTATTAGTATACCGTCCTAAAAATTATGTGTAAGATATGGTTTAATCTTAGATGATTTAGGGTCTTTCAATGCCTTACTGTTGTCATTCTGGCATAAATTTTCACAATGAGGTACTCAAGTTGATACTGGAAGATGAGCTGGCTATACACTGACCTTAAGCATTCATTAAAACTGCTTTGTTGAATGAAACCTGATCTTATGGTTACTCTCCCCTTATTGCCGAAAGTAGATTGCAAGAAAACCCCAATAAAATTTGGTTGGATACCTATTTAAAGTTTTACTGTATTTATATTTCATTCATAACTTGAAACTTTGAGGAGGTCCTCTTTCTTAGTCTCATTTCACACTAGGTTCATTTTCAGTGACTCTGTGATGAAGTAAGGATTATATTTTATTAAAATGAAACAAAATTGTAAGCATTGACAAACTCAGAAATTTTAACTAGCCTTTCAGACTAGTAAGTCTCAGCTGTTTGACGCTACACCTGTGTTCAGTCACAGAGATACAGAAAACCCTTTCTGGGTAGAACTTCAGGTGGAGTTCATTTACACAATGAAGGGGATGGACTGCTCCACAAAGGATTGAGTACCAAATTCCCTGGAACATAGAAATTGCCTAAGATGTGGCAGAAAACTGCGTCTTGGAAAATGGGTATTTTCAGAACTTCATTTCATAATTTGTTTTTTTCTTTCTTTCCTTAGTGTTCCTATGAAAGCAGTCGCTGTTCACATGTTATTATTTGAATGAATACAATCTAGGTCCTGTTTAAAAAAAAAGAAAAGAAAAGAAAGCAATCCTTCAATCCTGTCCTCCAAAGAATTTGTAGTTGTGTAATCCTTCTAATGAGAGCAGTATGCTTTCTCTCCTCCACTGCCACTCTGCCACCAAGCCCTAAAAAACATATATAATGAATTATTTTTCAATATTTCTAGAATGGTACTAGCTGTGTTATTTAGGATAACTAGGGGAAATTTTCATTCCAGCTCTTCATATAAGGAGTATGTTAAAGAAGGAATGTAAAGGCCAGAGTACAGTGGGTAGCACACTTGCTTTGCATGCAGCTGATCCAAGTTCAGTAACCCGCCACCCCATATGGTCCACGGAGCACCACTAGGAGTGATTCCCGAGTGCAGAGCCAGAAGTCACCACTGAGCATCATCGGGCGTGGCCCAAAAAGCAAACCAAACAAGGAGTGTGATTGAGGCACACACAGAAAGGCCATGTATGTAACTCAGCCTGGGATGACTTCCAAGGCAAGATTGGAGAAAGTGATCCTTAGAGTAGCCGAGAGCCTATGTAGATTAGAGTCGGAGGAAGGATGTGTCTTGGGGGATAAGGAACAGCAAATGCAAAGGCATAGGGGTGTAGAAAAGAATTGACGAACACTGGTGAGAAGGGATTCCCCAAGGTGAACACAAGGTGCCAAGGCAAGAATCAAGGACAGAAAAAAGTGAAATGAGAGTTGAAGAGGGTATAGAATGCTATTGTGGTTTTAATCTAAATGAAGTGAGAACCTGAAACACGTTGAACGCTTGAGAAAGGAAAGCTTACTCAGAGTGTCACCAATATGGGAGAAGGCAAGACGGCTCTCTTAGAATAGCCACTGGAGTACTGTGCACAGAATAGTCATAAGTAGCCACTAGGACACTTAGGAAAAAATTTAGGAGTCTTTCATTTTTTTCTTTTGCTTGTTTTGTGGTTTGGGGCCACTTGTAGAAATCCTCTGGTTCTCTGGGGGTCACTCTAGGAAATACCACCAGGGATCAGATTGGAGTCAACATGCAAGGCAAATGCCATGTACTATCTTTCTGGCCCTCTTCTTATTTTTCTCCTCTTGGGGGATGGGGTGGAGTCGGGGAGGGCCAGGATGGAGGTTTGGGACCATACCAGTCTGCGTTCAGGGCTTACTCTTGGCTCTGTGCTCAGGGATCTTGCCTGGCAGGGCTCTAGGGCTATATGCAGTGCCAGGAATCAAACCCAGGTTCGGTACATGCGAGGTAGCAAAAATATCTTACCTGTTACCCATCTGGTCTTTCTTTTCTATTCGATGGTGTCAGAAATCAAATCCAGAGCCTCGAACATGTAAACCATTTGCTCTACCATTGCTCCAATGCCTGGCCCTAACGCAAAGTTTTTACTACCTCCCCATAAATTTATCATTATAATTTCTTCCCCAGTACTTAGCCCTGTCAGATTCAAGGTTTTTGTTTTGTTTTATTTTTGCTTTTGGGCCACACAGGGCGATGCTCAGTGGTTCCTCCTGACTCTGCACTAAGGAATTACTCTTAGCGGTGCTTGGGGGACCAAATGGAATGATGATCACATACAAGGCAAGCTCCCTACCTGTTGTACTCCACCCCATGATATTTTATTATTTTTTAAATTTTTTTAAAAAATTTTATTAGTGAAACACCATGAGGTACAATTGTAGACTTACAAATTTTTGTGCTTCGGTTTCAGTTTTACAATGATCGAGCGATAGCACAGCGGTAGGGCGTTTGCTTGCATGCAGCCAACATGGCCGACCCGAGTTCGATTCCTCCGCCCCTCTCGGAGAGCCCGGCAAGCTACCGAGAGTATTCGATATGCCAGACACAGTAACAACAAAGTCTCCAATGGAGACGTTACTGGGCCCGCTCGAGCAAATCGACGATCAACGGGAGGGCCTTTACCTTTACCTTAATGATCGAGTATGCATCCCTCCACCAGTGCCCATTCTCCACCACCAATGATCCCAGTATCCCTCCACTCCCCTCCCCCCCATCTCACCCTGCCTCTGTGGCAGGGCATTCCCTTTTGTTCTCTCTCTCCTTTGGGTGCCGTGGTTTGCAAAAGAGGCATTGAGTGGCAATCATGTTCGGTCTTACTGTCAGCATGCATCTCCCATCCTGGGAGAATCCTCCCAACACCCGTTACTTGGTGCTCCCTTCTCTATCTGTGCTGCCTTTTCCCCTAGTATGTGAGGCTGGCCTCCAAGCCAAAACCCCATGATATTTTAAACATAATTTGGTAAACTTCCATTACTCTCTTCACATGAAATCCATTGATTAAATAGCTAATTAACTGCATTAAAAATATATAGTAAGCTAAATGGAA